AACCTGAGAGGAATTCATAGTAACAATAGAACAATAATAATAGCTAACATTCAGAGTTTTCATGTAGTAAACATTCTGTTCAGTATACTGTCTGCTTTTCCTTATCGATTCCTTGTAATCCTGTTTAGCAAAGGGTATTTTCATCTCCAATTTAAAGATAAGGGGACTAATGTCCAGAGAGGCTAAGAGTCCAGGTCTGTGACTGCAGCTGTAGTTGAACACGTACACACACACACACACACACACACACACACACACACACACACACTCTGACAGAAAGTTTGACCTAGGTCTCGAGCTTTCTTATAAAAGTACTGCAGCAAGGTTAACCGGTTTCCCAGGAATTCCAGAGGCATCTAGAAAAACCTGTAGCTTTCAAATAATCAGCTGTTGACCACCTGCAGTAGAATCTCCTAGCTGCTTTTTAAGATCACAGATGGGCTGAACACAGCCTCTGGGAACAAGACCAAGGAATCTGCATTTTCACAGAGCTCTCCCAGGGAGTTAGAGTATGTGTTTTTATGGACATAAGGAGTTGAAGTTTATAGATAGGATTGAGACCAACCGTAGGGATTCGTGAGAAATCTGCAGGGGATGACAGTGTTTTAAGGGTCACTTAGTAGATAGCTTGGGCTTGATGAGCCTTCAGGGTTTCTGTTGAAACTACTCAAGCCCCCTGTAATGCTGAAGCAGATGGAGAGTCCGTAATGAGTGGGTGTGGTTGTGTTCCAAGAAAACTGCTCTCAAAGACTGTAGATTGCCAACCCCTAGTCGTCCTGGTCCATCAGCCTTCTACATCTCCCTCTGTGGAAGTTGTTCATATGCAACCTTTAGTTATCCACAGAGAGTTTGTTCATGGTGGGAACCAGGCTTGGGGTACGTTTCTTAGGTTGCAGGAAGCATTCAAAGTAGCTATGTCAGAAAGCCTTCTCTCCCCAGGGCATCCAAGCACAAGGGTTCATCCAGTACAAAAGGTTGCCTGTTACGCTGGGCCTGGGGTTCAGGCCTGTAATCTCAGCTACTCTGGAGACTGAGAGGAGGATTTGAAGTTCAAAACCAGCTTGGGTAATTTTGCAAGACCCTGTCTGTCTCAAAATAGAATGTGAAAAAATGGGCTAGAGATACAGCTCCGTGGTAGAGCAATGGCCAAGCACACATGAAGTCCTAGGTTCAATCCCTGGTACTGAAAAATCAGTTAATTTAAATGAATTAATAGATAAACCCTGACTCTTAGTGATTTCAAACAATATGGTAAGGGTATTCTAGCTGGGACCATCTCAGTAGTCACTCAAGATCAACCCTTCTGTTAAAGTTCTATCCATCTTGGTCTTCTGGGTCCTCACCATTCAGCCAGTGGATGAGAATATAGACCACAGATTGTTCAGAGGAAATGTTCCTCACTATATTGGAAAAAGCACCTATCATACCCAGTGTTTTATTGACCAGAAGGCTTCTTATTTGGGGTCCAGAAACTGATTTTTGAAGCCCTTGAGGCTCTTGGTCCCTGGAGTCTCTGTATACCTTTGTATCTTGACTTAAACCCATTTTTACTAGTTTGCTTTTCTGTTGCTGTGTTATAAACACTCTGACTAAGGGTTTATTTCAGCTTATACTTTTAGGTCACAGTCCATCATTGAGGGAAGTCAGGGCAGGAACTTGAAACAGAAACCATGGAGGGATGCTGCTTACTGGCTCATAGTCAGTTAGCTTTCTTAAAAAGCCTGGGCTGACCTACCAAGGGATGGTGCCTCCTACAGTGGGTTGGGCCCTCCCACATCAGTCATCAATCAAGATAATCTCTCACAGACATGATCAGGGAAATTCTACTGCTGAGCTTCCCTCTTCCCAGGTGATTCTACTTTCTGTCTAGTTGATAATAAAAAACTAGCCAGCACACCCATCTAGTTCTTTCCAGAGCTTGCTTCTCGAGAACCCTGTGAAAAAAGCCTTGCCAAAGTAGGCCAACAGGAGCCAGAACATGACTTTACCTGATTCCATCAAACCTAGCTTCCAGGAGCTGCAGCCTCAGATGGTACATGGGCCACCTTCTAAATTGCTGTAGATCTGACTTTTGCCAAATTGTTTGCTGCTGGGTAAGGCAGATTACCACTTTTGCAGCCCTTAGAATCAGCTTCCTCACTACTTCTGTCTGTCCACTGAATCTATGCCACGAATTTTGCATGGCTGTGGTCACAGCACCCAGTGTAAAACACTACTTTCTGTGTTAGTCCAGGTAACATAGTGCTTTGGTAAGTGTGCACCTCCTGTTCACCTTGAAGCTCTGCCCTGCTTTGGTTCTTAAGCATCTTCTATCCAGCTGGCTTACCAGGAAGGCTGTCACACCTCCAGGGCATGTGTCTGAAAGTGGTTCACACCACTTGTGCCCCATACGGTCTTGACCACAGCTGGGTCCCTTGGTCTCACATACCATGAGAGGAGGTAGCAAACATACCCCAACAGAGAGCCCCAGAAAAAGGAATAGGTTTGTCAATGTAGTAACCGCAGTGGCACTTACCTTGTGGCACAGGCCTTCCTGGGCTGAGAGACTAAAGACAGTGACCCATTAGGGAAAAAGGCAACAGGCAGCCTCCCTGGGTGCTTGCAAGGGATGCTATCAAGCACTAGCTAGTAAGATCCAGACAGTGCACAAACATCTTCATGAAAGCATGTCCACCATGTGCAAGGCAGTGGGCAGGACACTAGGACTGCAAGAGATCAGAGCTCCTCATAGAACTTTGGGTGGTTCCTACTACTGGGGACCCTTGTGCTAGATGCCTGGGGAGGGAGGGCTTTCTGACATAGCTGCTTTGAATACCTCCCGCAACCCAAACAATGTGCCCTAAGCTTGGTTCCCACTGTGAGCAACCTCTACAGAGTGCTAAAGGAATATAATTAAAAGGAGGAAAGGGACAACAGACAGCAAGTATTCAGTAGCTATAGCTCCCTTAGTTGTTTCCATGCGGTGCTGCTTTACCTCTGAGAGGCATCTCGGGAAGGTAGATATTCTGGGAATGTAGTGTGTGACTCAGTAGTGGAGCCTCACTTGCCTACCATTTGTGAGGTCGTAGGTTTGAGTCCCAGCACTGCAACAAGCAAACAAACAACAAACAGAAACCCAACGTGTCATTTCCTTGGCTGGAAAATTTCTTTTAGCTTATACCCACATGTAAAAGGGGTGGGGGTGGGCTTCAAGTTCTCATCTTTTTGCGTTTGCTCCTGGCTGTTGACAAAGGTATGGAGCTGGGACCACGTCCTAGAAGTAACAATTATTCCTGGTACCTTGGTGGTACTGAGGGCAGTACAAGGAGGGGCCCAGAGTCCCATATCTCTTCTCTTTTCATGTTAGGGGTAATTGGGTTAGAACTACTGCTAACGTTGATTTCATTTTGGTTAGTCTGAGTTGTAGTCTAGGCAGACAGAGCATCCACTCTGCCTGATCTCTGTCCATGCGCAGACCCTCCTCTCATGGGAGTCTACTGTCTGTTGGTGACCAAGGCCTCTAGAAAAGGACCTTGGAACAAGACCATGGCAGATACAAACAGTATCTCCAAGAGGATTTTCATACTGGGTTCAAAGAATGGGCAGGGAGGCCAGATTGGAATAGACCACTGAGGGAAGTTATTTTAGTTTCTTTCAGTTTCTTTTTTTCTTTTTTGGAGTGGGGGGAGAAAAGTATGTCAGTCAAAACAGGAGGGTACCCTGGGTAAGACCTGGCACCCCCTTCCAAACGGCCTCCATTGATTGGTCACACATTTTCAGCTAATGGATTAAGGACAAGAAAAGGTTAAATTTCTCATATAAGATTAATTCAGCCATCTCTGTGCAATGGTGGAGGCAGAATACCATTAGACTCTCTAATCTCATTTCTGTCATGCTGTCTTTCTTGGAACCTATCAAACAGTGTCCTGGCAGAGAGTCAGTTCTGTGGATGCTAAACATCAGAGTCAGTCTCTCTCTGAATGTACCAGGAGGGCTGTAATTTAGAAAATGTAGCTACCTTGTAAGGAAGGATGAAAAGGTACTGAGTGCACCTGTCTCTGCATGTGAGAGTCCCAAATATTTTGAATATATGTGTAATTCTTGTGAATTTCATTTTCTGTTTTCTTAGAGTTTGCATGACATTTGAGCCAAACTTATTAAAACTGTTTATATTTGGGGGGACCTCTGTTGGTTTTATGAGCACTCTGTGGAGTCCCAGATATACTAAGTAGCCAATAAGATATGTACCTCTTGAGAGGGGAGCCATGCATGCAAGATGCAAATGCAGTAACAATTTTCATCTTTGTTTTAATTGCTCCTCGATAATGCATGTGAGTTCTCTTATCTGACTTAAGCCTGTTTGGGGATGAAGTAGAGGGTGGGAAGTATTAACTGCTGCTGTGTCAAAAATAAATATGCTCAGATGTTGGATTTTTAGGTTTTCTCTTAGTTCTGGTCTTCTCTCATGTTGGCACATAAAAATCTTAAATTAAATGCTGAGGGAGGGGACGGGGAGCCTACAGGGATTTGGGAATTTTTGTCTCCTCTTTAAAATACAGCTTTAAGTGATGCTGGTTATTTTTACATTGCATATTGGGACAAAGAGACTCTCTTAAGCAAAAGATAATTGCAAGATCTGGTTCAGCAGCTTTGTCTCTTGCCTCAAGTTACTGCAGGGCTTCTATCCCCTTTGGTAATACCAAAATGAAATTATAAACCACCAGTAGCCTTGGAAATTTCAGTCGATTCCAAATGAGCTAAATATTTAATTCAATCCTTGTCTATACTTCTAGGGAATGACTCGGGTGGTTTTCTTTTTACTGAGGGCTCCATGAAAGCCAGGCTCTGCAATGGCTGCTGGGGACGGTGTCTGTTGCAAGGAGGCTCCCCTGCAGTGAGGCGCCCGGGCACTGCAAGCCTGCTCCCTAGCAGCCCTTTTTTGTAAATGGTAGTGGATTTTTTTACAGAAGGTGTGTGGCCAGATCGCTATGTATAATACTGATGAAGCATTTTTGTTCCAGCTCTGTCTCAGAAGACCTAGGCTGTAGACGTGGGGATTTCAGTAGGAAGCATTATGGATCTGTGGAGCTGGTAAGTTTATGCTGTCTGTTCGGTGGTGGTACATTGATTCAGATTTAGAGATGATTGCCAGGCTCATCAGATCTTTTGTTGTATATTTACCGTTAGATCGTATGAGCACAGTGTCAGGATCCAAGTAGAATAAGTAACTACTGGAAGACTGTGACCATTTGATCATCTTTGCTGCTTTTCCTTGTTACGTACTTTTAATCTCATGTCTTCCAGCTTATTGAAAAAAAAATGTTGTGGCTTGGTATTTTTCTCTATTAAGGAGTGTATAGAATTAAATAACATCAATTAAGACATATAGCATTTTATTTTTATATTATCTTGTTCCTGAAGGTTTATAGCTGTAGTTTTTAAGGTTTAATTATTATTAAAACTTGTGTTCTGATTTTGTATGCCTTTGCCTTCTGGCTGTATGACAGGAGTTAGAATATTTATGAGAACCTCTTTTCCTGTTAAAAGCACATTAGTTGGATGAGATCAGTAACCATCACAGATGACAGATGTCTAGAAGGAAAATACCCATTTTTTTTCTAATAAGAGACATTGGAGTTTGTGGTGATATTTTAAAGAGTGCATCTTCATCTCAGTAGAGGTAAAATGAAACCATTAATAACCTTAATTTTTTTAAAGAGAGAATTTTGAGGGTTTTTTTCACAATTGCATAGAATTTGAACAGTTTTCAGGAAGTGTGCTTATAAATTGTCCTGATTATTATTTATCACTATAACATTAACACTACTATTCTGCTAATAAAAATCAGTTACTTATAACCACTGGTATATTAACCAGTTATATACCATTGGGATAAGCTAAACTCTTAGAAGGTTTAAGTAGTAGAGCAGTCTATACCAGAGTTGTGTGCCGGTAGCACTCTACTTGACTTTAAGCATGTAAACTATGTGCCTGGCCCAAGACTGGGTAGTCTTGCAAGCAAGTAAGTACAAAATAAATGAAGTGGTCCTTGTTCTTAAGGGGCTTTCTGTCCTCCAGCTGAGCAGATTAGACACATAAACTATCTACAGAATGACCTTAGCCACATTAAAGGCACACTGATTGACTCATCTGGTGCCTGTTCTGTCAGTCATTCTCAACACCCCACCTGCCAACTCAGACCACTGCGTCGCCTTAGGAGCCAGGACATGAGTATAATTCAGAGCAGGAATTGGAAAATAGAGAGAAAGAGAGACAGATAGAAAATGGTAGGAGTTGAGAAAAGGGAGGGAGTGACCCACCCTAATCAAGGACCTCAGGCAAGTGGTATGGAAAGCCTTGTGAAGGACCATGGAATGCAGGGGATGGCAAAGAATAGATGGGCAGGATTCCTGGCAATGATGTGCCCCAAAGGCCAAGGATCCTATCTAGCAGAGGTAAGGCAGCAGGATATAGAGGTTAAAAAGCAAGCAGGCTCTGGGATCAGACAGGGCTGGTTCACATCCTAGCTCCACTGCTGGCCTCTGTCATCACTCAAGTTACTTGTCTGTACCCCAAAGCTTGTGCTCTGAACTCATCTTTGTCTCATCATTTACTAATGACATGCTCCTGAGCTCCTCTCCATCCTCGGTTCTCTCATCCATAAACTATGAAAACTACTGTTGTCTACTGGTAGGTTTGCTATGAGGATGGAATGAGATGATGGACATGCATCACTTAGAACACACCTGCTGACTAGCTGTAAAGATGAAATTCAGTAGCAGTCATAGAACTTCCAGAGTTGGGTTAAGACTTTGAACTTGGTCAGAGACATAATATGGAGTGCTTGTAAACAGCGAGAATGGAGCTTGGAGAACCAACATGGGTGACAGGTGAACTAACTCTGTGGACTTGTGGAAATCACAGAACAGCAGAATGAAACTTGAGAGAGTAGAGTGACTGTTGGCATGATCTGGGCAGCTTATCAGATTACAGGCTGCTGAGAATTAAAAGTGTAACAGGTCTAGAGGGAACCCACAACCTGAGCTTCTAGCAAGTTCCCAGATTGATGTTGTTGGTCCCAGGACCATACCTGAAGAACACACCTTCAAGAAGTTATCCCCAACCTCATGGATGGCAAGTTCCTCAATCCATTGTTCACAATTGTACTCGGGGGCTATGAGTGTGTGTGTATGTGCGTGAGTGTGTGTGTGCGTGTGTGCATGTATGTGTGTGTGTGTGTGTGTGTTGATAGTTGACCTTTAAAAATATTGTAAAATAGATTTTAAAATTCCATGGACAGTTTCACCACTGTGTAGTGTTTTTCCCTTCAGCACCTTCCAGTCTTTTTATAGCTGTACACTTCATGGTTGTAATGAAAATCATGCATTAATTTTGCATTGTTCTTTGTTCATTTTACTGTTTTGTAAATGGCTTCTTCATGTGTGGTCTTCAGAGGTACCATTTAACCTCAGAATGATAGCCCAACACTGAAGCGCTCATCAATGTAATACCAGGTTGCCCTAGCGGCTTCACATTAGGAATGCCATGTACACTGATGGTTGGAATGACCAAGAAAGGTAAAATGAACACAATTCCAACTTCAGGATCTAGGTGCTTAGATCTCTTGGTATTGTGACTCCCCATTTTTTAAGGGAAGATGATGTTCTCTCTCACCTCTGCATGACACAGTACAGTTGTCCGGGGTGTCTGTGGAGGGATTAGTTCCAGAACCTTCTTGGATACTGAAATCTGAGGATGCTGAAGTCCCTGACATAAAATAACATCTTTGCATATATCTGACACACATCATCCACATATATTAAATCATCTCTGGGTTCTTGATAATACCTAATATAAATGCTACACAGCTAGTCATTATACTGGAATAACAAGAAAAAACAGTCCACACATGTTCAGCATAGATGCGATTTTTCCGCCTAAGGTTTTCCACACAGTTGGCTGAATCTACTAATGTGAAACTAAGGCACATGAAAGCCTACTGAATGATTAAACTTAAAAACTGATGTGTATGTTCTGTGTTCATGAGAAAATGAGTCTAACTTTTCTTCACCTGGAGTGATAATAGGTAGTTGGAAACCCAGTAAGTGTTGGGCATCCTGGAACTCAAACTTCATTGTAGGGTACCTGGAAGTTGAAAAGTTAGCGTAAATGTTGACTTTGAACAAAGTAGGTATAAAGTCTTTGGGAAGAACTAAGCTTGGCCATTCAAATCAGTAATGAGGGCAGACTTAAGTGTTACATTCCCTAGGTATCAGATGGACATGAATTTGTTAAGATTCTGGCAACCCAGATCTCTAGAATTCTTCAGTCCTCTCTCAACAAATAGTTTTTGAAGATCTACCCTGTGAGCGACTGGGTTCTGAGAGAGGAGAGACAAGTCAGTTGGTCAGCTTCCCAAGAGCCACAGTCTCACTCCTAAAACTAACTGCCTCAAGCATTGTGTCCTGTCCCCAGGCTTCAACCCACCCAAACCTTAACTGTGCTTTCTGCCATAAGAACTTGTTTCCTTTTGAGGAAACATTGGGATGAGCTGCACGTGTTCAGTCTAGCTCCACTGTAATTTGCTGGAAGGGTCTAGATGAGTCTCACAGCAGTGAAGTGAGGGGTGCACAGCTGGGCCTCCGGGGACAGGAAAGCTGTCTTCTTCTCCCTGGTCCACATAATGTCTCATCCTTTCTCCTTGTCTCTTCCTCTTCTATTGATAAACTGGCTTCTTTCAGTTTCACCTTGCATCTCCAATCCTGTGTCTTCTAAGAGCTTTATAGTTTTATGTTGTGAATCTATTTTGTGTTCATCTCTGTGTACGTGTGAGTGGAGAGTCCACCTTCTCACTCATACATGAGCACATTCAGCTTTCCCAGCACTATTTGCTGAAGACTGTGAAGATATGACACCCTTCTAAAAAAAATGTTTTGCCCATATATCTGACTTAATTTGTAGGCTTTCTCTTTTTTCTCATTGGTCTATAAATCTGCCTTACGATAGAATGATATTCTAAAATGTTAACAACACAAGGTCTTTTCTTTTTTGGTTGCCCTTGTCATTCAAACTGGACCGTTTACTATCGAGAACCCTTAGGAACCTTATTCCACCCATCTTTCTCATCTCCTACCTCTTACCACGCTTTGACTTTGGTCTGCTGGTCTCCAGAACATACTACATTTATCCTTGCCCCAGGATCTCTGCACTTGATTTCTGGAAGGACTTCCCCAGTGCCTCGCATGGCTTCAGTTTAAATCCTGCCTCTTTAGAATGCTCCCCTGATCATCCAGTCCACATCGGTCCCCCCTGCTGTTCTTTAACTTGGCATTGTGTCTGTTTCATTTGTTTATTTACCTCCTACTCGCTCATCTAGTAGAAGTCAGGGATCCATGACTGTCATCTTCACTGTTGTATTTCTAGAACCCAACACAAGGCCTGCTATATACTAAGTTTTGGTAAATGGTTTTAATTATTAAATTAATGTCCAGTCTCCAAATCTCCCTGGATTATATGATTTAGCCCTAGTTCCCATCATCGTCTTCTTTATTCTTTGAGTTCTAGTTTCAAATTTCAGATATAACATTATGGATTGGTTCCTCTTCATTTGGGATTGTATCAGGATAGTGGGGTCATCTGGTACAAACAACCTTCTAGAACCATCCCCTTAGCAAAGTTGGTGGAGAAGGCAGACTCTCTTGAAAAGCATGTAGACAAAGACTGTTTAAATAAGAGCAGAAGTGGGCTGGGGAGACTTTAGTGGGTAAAGTTCTTGCCTCACAAACATGAAGATCTGAATTCATAGCCTCAGCGCCCATACAACAAGCCAGGCATGGGGGCACACACCTGTAAACCCAGGAATGGGACCTGGAGGTATGTGCATGCACACACACACACACACACACACACACACACACACACACACAGCAGAACTGAACTGGAACCCCTACATGGGTCCACAAGCATCCCTTCATGCATTAGATGATTTAAAAGCATTAAATTTCTTCCTCTGCTGGTTAACTCTTTCCCTGCCACTTTCACTAATTCCATAAATAAGAATGATAAGTTTCCCAAAAATAGAAACTTGGGGG